ACAAAGACTGGGCTCTTTTCAGCCTTATGGGTGTTAAAGACAAGGCCTCTTGCGTTTTAAAGCTAGATATTCAGGAAGCTAATCTCTCATATGCAGGTCTCAAAAACTGGGGTGCCCACTGTAGGGCTCAATGCCCTTGCTCCTCCAGTAGCTCAGGGCTGTGAGTTCTCTCCTGACGACTGGATGCTGTGCCAGGGATGGATTTATGGCAAGACCGTGTCTCAGCCTCTTCTATCTATTTCAATGTGGGTTTTTTCTCATTTGTCCAATGTGTAGGAGTCGCTCATCCAGTTTTTGGATTTCTTTCAGAGGAAATTGTTTTGTATGTAGCTACAGATTTGGTGTGTCTGTGGGAGGAGATTCAGGATCCTCCTACATCACCATCTTGAACCAGAACCCACTGTATATGATCAAATATAAAATTATGTGTCTCAAAGTAAAAGTGCACTAGGTAAGATAATTAAATGCATCAAGGGTCATTCTAGAGAGAATATGGAATCCAGGAAAATCGGGTGAATATAAATACAGTCAGTCAGAGGGATAAGGTAGAAAGGAAACAGGAATCTTCTTTGTTCTGACTAAAGCTCAAGTTTTTCTGTATACTACTTTAAAAACTCTCCCATGCTGCTGCTTCTCCCAATCATTGGCTGGCTATGTAAAACTGGTTACTACAGTAGCAAGAGTACTCAAAGCCCAGAGCCTGAAGCAACTGCCTCATCCACTATACCAGGAATGGTGCTGGCATCAAGACTGCACAGAGAGGATGATGAAACATATTCAAGTCATATACTAGACTTTTTTTTTTTTCCATTTATCTATGGCTACTCTAAATTTTCTTGGTAGTCACATAGAAATATTCCTTTTTTAAAATCTTATTTATTTATTTATAGACAGAGACAGAGACAGAGTGCATGGGTGGGGGGGGGGGGGAAGAGAGAGGAGACAGAATCCCAAGCAGACCCCTTGGTATGCTGATGAGCCAGTACAGGGCTCGATCTTATGAACCATGAGATCATGATCTGAGCCAAAATCAAGTATTGGACACTTAGCCAACAGAACCACCCAGGCGCCCCAGTACAGAAACATTCTTAATCAGCTTTTTACTGAAATTCATCAGCTCTCCACTCATCTAAAAACTGCTTAATTTTAGGACTTTGCGTGCTCTGTGATTATTTTTAAACTGTTCTAAAACTAAAACTTAATAAATTTAGATCTGTTAAGTATCCTGGGATATGGTATGCGTGAAAGACATGAAAAAACAAAGTTGAAATATGAAACTACTGGCTAGAGTCCAGCCAGCTGATGACAGAAATTGAAACTATAAAAAAACAGCCTTACTCTTTTCTTTATTTCAACCCATACAGGAATAATATATATTTTACTTCTGCTGCATTAATATCTGTGGAAATTCCTGTTCATGAGCAAACAAAAATGAAGCCAAATTTTCCAATCTTATTTTAATATTATAATTTTCCCTCACGATTTTCATCTTAAAGAAAATCAATCGCTCATTATTCTGGCTTTTTATGAAAACCAGGAATGTGCATGGCATACTAGTAACTACTCCGTTCATGTAACAGATCTTTTTTTTAAAATTTTTTTAATATTTTTTATTTATTTCTGAGAGAGAGTGAGACACAGCATGAGCAGGGGAGGGTCAGAGAGAGAGGGAGACACAGAATCCTAAGCTGGCTCCAGGTTCTGAGCCCGACGCAGGGCTCAAACCCATGAACCATGAGATCATGACCTGAGCTGAAGTTGGACGCTCAACCAACTGAGCCAACCAGGCGCTCCAGATCTTTCAATAATTAAAAAAAAAGTTTACAAAGTTAAATATCTAAAAGTGTGGGAGCACTTAAAAAATATGATTTCTAAAGGGAAAAAAAATAATCTTTCTCAAATGACCAAATATCTTTAGTGACCGGTCTAAAGTCTTGCTTCATTTTCACTGTCACACTGGAAGCAAAACACATTCTTATTTAAAGTTACTGATATCATTTAGATTTTATCTGGGTATCAGAGTAATCTGACAGGTACAAAAATATTTTACTATCATAAAAACTAGGAATACATTTTACAATCTTTTTTTCTCTATCTTACAAAGAAGCCTTCTTTAATCTCTCCCACATCTCACAAAACAAGGAACTAAAACTAATTTAAAAGGCTCTTCATCTAAGATTCAATGCAGTTAGTGGAAATTTTATATACCTTCTTTCGGATTATAAAAGGCATTCTATTCTATAAAGGCATGAATTTTTGTCTATTTTATTCATTACTGCATCCATTCCATATGGAACAGTGTCTAACTCGCAGCAGAGATCAATACTTGTTGAATAGATGTATATGAAGTGTATTAGAAAATAAAGGAACATATAAAGAAGAGTAAAGTAATTCTTTATAATCTCAGCATTTAGAGAATCAATATTTTCATATACTCTCTTTTAGTTGCTTCATTATTTATTTCCTACATGGGTGAAATGCAAAGTACACAACATATTAAATAATACCATAGGGATATAATCAGTAAGATCCCAAATGAGGGAAGTTCTATAATATAAATGACTTATATTCTTTCACAAATAAATGATGTCTAGACTGGGTTTCCTAAAAAGTAAGGAACCAGTGTAAGAGGATTAGGGAAAGTGAAACAGGAAAGGAGTGAAAGCCAATTCAAGGGTGTGTTATGGAGATGACTACTGCTTTAGACAACTGGGGTGCACTTCTCCTTGGCCCATCTAAGAAACCAAGAAGAGTATTTATCCACCAAGTCTCAACAAAGAGTAAACTACTTTGTACCTCCATACGTGTGCACATGGCAACATGGTCGAGTGGGCTCCTGCAAAGGTCCCATGCTACGGCAGCAGAGATGCTCTCAAGTAGAAAGCAAGGGATGCATTGTACAGTTGAGGTTTCTTCCTGTCAGGCCAGACCTCTGTACTAACTGCTACAGCAACAATCTGAGTGAAAAGGGGAAAGGTGGGCTGAGAGATGTGAAACAAGGCATAAAACTTGTCTTGTACAAATGGTAAGAAAAAAGAGTGAGGAAAAAGAAACCTGATAGGTAAAGACTTAAGAGATAACAAGTACAGTGTGTGACAAACTTTGGAGATTTGTTTGAACAAACCAACTCTACATGATGTTTTTTAGAGAAGGAAACTTGAACAGTGCCTGGATATTTGCTGTTAAGAAATAAATGCTATTTTAAAAAACATAGTATTTAAAAATTATTGTTATTGAGTTTTTTTTTTTAGTACTTATCTTTTAGACACATATACAGGTATTTACACATTAAATGATATGTCTTGATTGGCTTTAAAAGAATCTGGGGTGCATGGGTGGCTCAGTCAGTTAAGCATACGACTTCAGCTCAGGTCATGATCTCACGGTTCATGAGTTAGAGCCCCGTGTTGGGCTCTGTGCTGACAGCTCAGAGCTTGGAGCCTGCTTCCAATTCTGTGTCTCCCTCCTTCTCTGCCCCTCTCTTGCTCTGTCCTTCTCAAAAATAAACATTAAAAAAAAAAAAAAACCCAACAATCTAGAGTGAGAAGTAAGAAACTTATAAATGAAATAAGATTGGCCATGTGTTGGGGTGACTGGGTAGCTCATTTGGTTAAGCATCTAACTCTTGATTTCAGGTCAGGTTAGGTCATAATCTTGTGGTTCATGAGTCTGAGCCCCACATTGAGCTCTGCGCTGACAGTGTGGAGCCTGCTTGGGATTTTCTCTCTCTCTCTCTCTCTCTCTCTTTCTCTTTTTCTCTGCCCCTTTCTCTTTCTCCCTCAAAATAAATTAACTTAAAAAAAAATATTGGCGATGTGTCAACAACTGTTAAGCTAAATGATAGATATCTATAGGCTGATTTAGAATTGATTTTATTCTGTGCATTTTTATATTTGAAAATTTCCATAACAAAATATATAAATATATAGATTTCCTTCACTGTTGACAGGTGATAGTTCTGCCTGGAGTTCTCATTTGTCCTAGAAATATTAATGTTAATAAATAGAAATTATCCCTGGCTAGAAAACATCATAACTCTTGCTGGTTCCCCAAGCTCACATTGCTATTTCACATGTCAGTCTTCTGACCTACTATTTACTCAATCTGAATGATGCCCTTTCCCTCTCAAATACATGATGAATTACTATTCAGCTTTCTTCTGTTTGAAATTTTTACTTATTTTTGAGAGAGAGAGAGAGCACAAGCTGAGGAGGGGCAGAGAAAGAGAGAGAGGGGAACAGAATCCCAAGCAGGCTCCAGGCTCTGTCCTGTTGGCACAGAGTCCAACCCATGGCTCAAACCTGCACCGTGAGATTGGGACCTGAGCCAAAGTTTGACGCTCAACTTGAGTGAACCACTCAGGCACCCCTATTATTCATTCTCCAAAGCCTAACTCAGCTGCTGCCCCCTTTAGGATGTCTTCCTTAAACCTACCCTCTAAAAGAACAGTTTCATTTTTATAACCTACTCCTGTACCATATACAACCAATTCCTGCTAATTGTGGCATTTATGCTCTATAAAATTGCCATGAAAAATGAACTGCTGAATACTGACCTATTTCTCCCAGGGGAAATACAGAGTTGGGTTCCTCAAACCTCTGGTCACAACATTTTTGTTAACTGATCAACATATATTAACTTGTTTTATGTGTGTTTCTGTTTAAGACATTTTATTCTCTCTCTCTCTCCTCTCTTGCCCTCCCTCCAAGGACACTTGTTTAAAGAAAGAAAACTGAAACAAAAAGGAAGAGCTTTCGTTTCCTTGACTTCAGCTGGCCAACATATATATACAAGGGTGACTCAAATCTCTGCTGTTCCGCACGTATCTGCAGGTGACTGCAAAAGCACTGCAAGTACTGGTTATGGGATTACAAGTACCTTTTAGCAAGGACGCAAATTTGCAAACACAAAATTTGCAAATGAGGACTGACTTTTTCCCCCTTTTAAAAACTGAGGTGAAATTCCATTAACATAAAATAACCATTTAAAAGTGTCCAGTTCAGTGGCATTTAGTACCTTCGATGTTGTATAACTACCACCTCTATCTAGTTCCAAAACCTTTTCATCACTCAAAAATAGAAATCCTCACACCGATTAAGCAATCTGTTTTCATTCCCCCAACCCAGCTGCTGGCAACTAACAACCCACTTTCTATCTCTATGGATTTACCTATATTAGATATTTTACATAAATAAAATCAGAGGAGATGTGGCCTTTTGTCTTTAGCTTGTTTCACTGAGCATAATGTTGCCAAGGTTCAACCACATCTGAATAATATTCCATTGTATGTATACACTATACTTTGTTAATCCATTCATCTGTTAAATGACATTTGGGGGTATTTCCACTTTTAGGGTACTGTGAATAGTATTGCTGTGAATATTCACGTACAAGTGCTCATTTGAGCACCTGTTTTCAATTCATTCAGGCTTATACTAGTAATGGAAGTGTTGGGTTATATGGCTAATTCCATGTTTCTGAGAAATGGCCAAATTGCTCTCCACAGTGTTTGCACTATTTTACGTTCTCACCAGCAACATATGAGGACTTTAATTTCTACACATACTCACCAACACTTGTTTTTAAATTATGGGTGTGAGGTAGTATATCATGGTTTTGATCTGTATTTCCTTCGTGATTAATGACATTAAGCATGTTCTCATGTGCTTATTGGCCACGTGCATATTTATTTGGAGAAATGTACATTCAAGGCCTTTCCCATTTGTTAATTGAGTTGTCTGTCTTTTTGTTGAATTATAAGAGCTCTGGTAGTTTGTATGTGTCTAGGAATTTGTCCATCTTTATCTAGGTAATCCAATTTGTTGGTGTACAATCCTTCATAGTATTCTCTTATAATCCTTTTTATTTCTATAAGTATGTAGTAATGTCCCCACTTGCATTTCTGATTTTAGTTATTTTATTTCTCTTTTTTCCCCGGTCTAGCTAAAGGTTCCCCTCAATTTTTTGGATCTTTTCAAAGAACCAAATTTTGTTTTGTTGATTCTATTGATTTTCTTTCCTCCATTTATTTCTCCATTAACTTTTATTATTTCTTTATTTCACTATCTTTGGGTTTTGTTTGCTCTTCTTTTTAGTTCCAACATCAGATTTTAGGAAACTGATTTGAAATCATTCTTCTTTTTAAATTTTGGTGTTTAGAGCTATAAGTTTCCCTCTATGTACTGCTTTCGCAGCACTGCATAAGTTTTGTTAAGTTCTATTTTCTTGTTCATTTATCTCAAAGTATTTTCTAACTTCTCTTGTGGCTTTTTCTCTGATCCAGGGCTTGTTTAAGCATATGTTGTTTACTTTCCACACATTTATGAATTTTCTAGTTTTCCTTCTCTTACTTATGTATAGTGTCATTCTATTGTAATTAGAAAAGATACTCTGTAGGATTTTAATCTTCTGAAATTTATTAAGATTTATTTCATAGCCTAACATACAGTCTATTTGGTCTGTTCTGGAGAATGTTTGATGTGCACCTGAGAAGACTGTGTATTCTGCTGCTCTTGAGTGGACTGTTTTATAAATGTCTATTTGGTCTAATGGTTTATAGAATTAAGTCCTCTTTCTTCACTAACCTTCTGTCTAAATGTTCTATCCATTATTGGGGCGCCTGGGTGGCTCAGTCAGTTAAGCGTCTGACTTTGGCTCAGGTCATGATTTCACGGTTCGTGGGTTCAAGCCCCGCGTCGGGCTCTGTGCTGACAGCCAGCTCAGAGCCTTGAGCCTCTTTCAGATTCTGTATCTCCCTCTCTCTCTAACCCTCCCCTGTTCTCTCTCTCTCTCTCTCTCTCAGAAATAACAAAACATTAAATATTCTACCCATTATTGAAATGGCAGTACTGAAGTCTCTATTACTAAAGAACTATTTCTCCCTTTAATTTGGTCAATGTTTCCTTCATACATTTTGGGGTATGTCATTTGGTATGTATATACTGATCATGTTTATATATTCTTGATGAACCAATCCTTTTATTAATATATAATGTCTTTGTCTTATGTAACAATTTCTTACAAAAATCTACTTTGTCTGATATTAATAGAGTCATCTCAGCTCTCTTTTGGTTACTATTTGTATACTTTAATTTTCAACCTACTTGTGTCTTTGGATCTAAAGTAAGTCTCTTGCTTATCAGATAAAGGGTTAATATCCAGAATCTATAAGGAACTCACCAAACTACACGCCCGAAAAACAAACAACCCAGTGAAGAAATGGGCAGAAGACATGAACAGACACTTCTCCAAAGAGGACATCCAGATGGCCAACAGACACATGAAACG